AAGAGAGTTCTCAATCACAGAGCTACCTCACTAGTCTATAACCGGAGAGACAAACACCACCGTATCTCTAGCCAGGGGACTACAATGACATCTTCCCACAGTATATTTATCTCTTATGTTTACAGGCATTTCTCCTGGAAGGAGAAGATAGACACTTGTGCATTCTCAACAGAATTGTTTACCCAAGAACTTCCGTACAAAGCCAGAGAACCTAACATAATGCTTGCTTCAGTAGCAGGAACCAGAATCTAAGTCCACAAAAAACTCATCTCTCTAAACTATAAAAATTGGAAGTTCAAAAAACTTACATTCTGTGCCAACACAAAATAAACTCTCTCAAACATTTGCAACAAGTTTCCTCTTTTTTTTTTTTTTTTTTTTTTTTTTAGCATCTCTCATTAAATATTCCTTTTCCCCAAAAAAGCTACCCCAGGAATATGCAGAAGCCAGAAAAATAACCATAGAGTTTTCCTCTGACAGCCTCTTAAAGCAGTTCACACGCAGCCCTTTCAAACATTCAGAGGACAATGATATTATGGAATAAAGTACTGCATCCCTCCTTAAATAAATTGAACCTGGTGGTCAGTCTTACACTTCTACATAATTTCCTGACAAATTGAAATACAGACAAGGATTGATATATGACAAGGACTGAGCCATAGTTATGTCACATTCCATGTTGTCCCTGCTGTCTGGTTACATTTACTGTGCTGTACACAACTGTACTCAATGGTGGATGGACCTACTAGAGCAGAATGAGGCCTTAACACTGACATGAAGAGAGCAGCACATGTATTACAAGATATCATGTGTTTGGCTTTGTTTGCTTTTTTATTTAATTCTTCACATCAGTAAGTTATTGACACTGTTGTACAACCTCTTCCTTTCAGAGACACCACTAAGCCTGGAAAGGGGTTAGTCTGGTAAACTCTGCCTCAGCCTCCATAAATCCAGTATAAGGGGTCCTGTTTAACCTAAATTTAAGATATTTTGGTTTTGCCCTGGGGA